ATATATATATATATATATATATATATATATATATATATATATATATATATATATATATATAAAATTGTGTGTCGATAATTTCTGAATTATCGATAATACTGGAATTTTTACCGATCACCATTTGTAACTGTACAGGCAAATTTCGTTGAAAAAATTAAAAATAAATATTAAATTAATTTAAATAACGTGTTTTGGACACAAGTAGCCCGATTAGTTAATTTGTTAATAATTCAGCTTAATTTTAGAAAATTCAATATTCAAACAATTCAAAATTCAAACAATTTGTCGATAAAAATTATGAATGAACATGATGAATAAATATAATCATAAATTTACCTGAGTTCGTAGTTTATCAACGATATTATCGTAATTAATCATGTCTTTTTGCATATGTCGATACAGATCACCACGCTGACTATAATCCGTGACTATGCTCATCGCAACAGTATACGCAACCATGATTATCAGAAAAAATCCTAATAATACTCCGTTCTGTGTGTGTATGAAATAGTTATAACTTTTGTAGTAATTCATGTTGTAAGGTATGAAACGTCATACGTGATGCAAGCATTATATATGGGATATAAATAGTCCATTATAATAAATTGCCCGATGTATCCTCATAATATCTCGCGGCAGCGCATAATATTCTGTGATAAAATATGTAATGTTACAATCTGCGAGGGAGAACATATCGGTTTTCATGTTTTGCAGAGAGTTTATGTTAATGTTTCCCAGTGTATTTTCATGCGATGTTCGTTGGAGCGGATGAAATTAAAGAGCCGCGCGAATAAACGTTTTGGGCGAATTAATTTGACCAATATGCAATTTTAACGTCGTTAATTTGGACAATCGTAAATCTCGACGCGTGCCGAGAGATGAGAGGATTGATATCGAAATTATGATAAAATGCAATGCATTGTTTCGCGTCGGGAAATGAGTGAGCACACTTACCAACCGCGTTGATCTATAACAATTTCTCGAACCGCCAAAAATACCGAGCCAACCGAGCAGAATCAGCAAGATCGTGGCGGCTAAGAAAACGTTGACATGTATGCTCTGATAGTGATCCAACAGTGTCAGGTCGTCGATCATGTCTATTTTGCTTATAATAGTCACGGTTAATCCACCTTTTCCTAAAAACTGAAAAGCAATAGGTATAAGTTATAGTTTCTATAACAATACAATGGTATAATAATACTTGTATTTTGTATATCAAATATCACATAATATACTTACGGCTAATATGAGATTACCGAGAATATAAAAGGCTCGAATCGATAGTCGTAGATTGTGTTGCATTGGATCCTTCTGCGCATTCAACTCCATCGTGGATTTTTCCATAATATAATCACAATTCATCAAATTCGATTAACAGATGGTACGAAAAACTCGGAGAACAATTTTATACGGAGATCAAGAAGTCGGTTCTTCGACGACCGTATTTCTTATGACACACGTCCACTTTACCAATAGTGTCCTTCTGATCTGTGATATGTCTTATCTAATATATATATCTATCTAGGTATATTCTTTTCTTCTGCACTAAGTAAGTTGTCTTTCTTATATGATATTGATTGCGTGTTGTATATAGTGTAAAAGATAATAACCGATTGTCACTGTTTGTTGAAACAAACCGATATGTGACAGATGCAATAAACATGAATAAACTGGCGCAAAAATAATAATTCGTCGATCCTCCGCTTCTTGATTTCTAGTACATAGAATTATATAAATGAGAACGGATATCCTTCAGTTCCTCGTCAAGCTACATTGAAGTTACTGCTTCATTATTATTTCAACTTACAAAGTATTTCGCGAAGAAATTCTAAAGCTCCAAGCATTTAAATATCTCCTTGTATATGTCAGAAATCGTTAAAATTGTATAAAGCAATCTTCATCAATGTTCACTTTGCAATCGGTTTCTCATAGTCCTTCCCCTCCTCCATTGTTACAATAACCTACTTTTGTACTGAATCCCACAAAATTTAAAATAATTAATGTGCATTATCAACGCATCTTGTCCTGTAAAGCGATACATTGATCAGCGCGATGATTTTGATATCTTGGCTAATTGTAGTTGTAAAAGTAGCTGCTTTTATGATGTCATGGCTTGCATAAATTTTTGCAACAGACTATCTATCGCAATAAACTTGCATCGTCTTTGACTCCTATATATTTGTCTTTGGAAACATAATTATATTTCTTGCGAATTTTGTATCACACGTTTATGCCAATAACAAAGTTCGCAATACGTGCACGTTAAAATCGATAACGGCAACAGAAAATAATGGCACTGATAATAATATTTTAAAAACACGTTGATTTGACAATAATTTATTATATATCTATAGTTGCTTTCGTGATAAGTAATCTCCTTTCTCTAACTTTTTTTAAAAGTTTGGCTCGAAAATGTTACATTTAAAAAAAAAAAATATCTTCGCCTTCACTTATCAAGCGATTAATCGTTTACGTTTATCGATATGACGCTGAATATGAGCAATTTCCTATCTGTCTGGAGGAGGTATATCTCAAGGATGTTTCTTTTGTATCTCTTTTTCTGCGAAATTTATCTATGGTAACTTACATTGCATTCTTAATCTACGCGATTAATCCTTTGTTTGACTATGAATCTAAGTACAATGTACAGTTTAATTATATCAATCCAAATAATAAAAACGTGAACGTTTCTACGTTACTTTATTATATGTTTAACTTCAATTTTATTATATATATAAATTCAACTGAAAAATTAAAATCAAATTGAATTCCACTTTTTTTGCGAAAATATTCCTATCAGACTAATGATTAAAAAATGGGAAAACAGAGGAATCGTATAATTTAAGTTCAGAAGTCCGATTTCTTGCGCGTTTATTGTATGATCTCGTCTCAAGGTACGGGAAAAATGGTAAAAATAATTTAACAAACTTATATAAGACATATGAAAAGTTCGCTTCGCGTTTGATGCGTAAGAATGGATCGCAGCTGCCATCTGTGCAACTTGAGACAAAGTACGCGGACGTTTATCGATCGAGTATGGATAATGTGTGTAAATAAACATCTTGAAAATAATTTTATTATTTACAACTCGCACACACGATAACGTTTGCCGATGGATATAGCAAAAGTAATGAGATTATTCGGAAATTTAAAATACATTAAAAAAAAGACGCTGGCACGCAGCCTTCAGCACAACAATCGAGTAGAGTCCTCACGGTTCCGTGGTGTAGCGGTTATCACGTCTGCTTTACACGCAGAAGGTCGCCAGTTCGATCCCGGCCGGAACCACTTCTTTTTTTTATTTTCTAATAAATTTTATTTTTTAATCGAGAAATACAATAACATCCGACAAATATCGCTCAATAGACGTGAAAGTAAAAAAAAACAAAGTAAAAACCAATAGTTTTGTTGAATACACTGAGAAAAAAAGCGATTGGATTGACAAAATCGACGGTCACCGACCATTAAAAAAATATTGGATCTATTCAACAAAATACAATGTTAATGCAACAATAAGTTTCGTTAATATAGTGATTTCAACGCAACTTATTGTTGCATTAACATTGTATTTTGATGAATAGATCTAATATTTCTTTGATGGTCTGTAACCGCCGATTTTGTCAATCCAACCGCTTTTTTCTCAGTGTAGGTACCACTGTTTGCAAGTTATATTTATTTCGCTATATAGAAAGGCTGTTTATGTCAATTATGTTGCACAAAGTCATACGAAGGCAATAGTACATGGAGTACACCTATTTTATCTTCCTCGTGTTTTCTTATTTGAGAAATAATTAAAGGAGAGTTACGCAACGCAAAATCACGTTGTAATATTGTATTAAACATTGTTATTTGACAAAGGCACAGAAGGGTTATTACACTCCTCATTTAGCCCTCATGGAGTTGTATTGACCCTGTGTTTTATGTATGTATGTATGTATGTGCAGGAAAAAGAAGCAACATGTATTACTGGTTAATTATTATTTCATGAGACTATTATTAAGTGTGCATACGTTACGTAAATTTGAAATTCATAATATTTTTCCGTAAGTATAGCGGGAGAAAAAATTTATTACAAACTCGCTATTTTCTACATATTTTCCGAGATTGTAGAAGTTTATAAGAATTTAAAAGAAAAATTTAATGTCGTAACTGAAAGACACAAGCTACGGCGTTTGTATCCAGAAGATTACCCCCGAGATAACTTCCTAAGGTCCATATTAATAGTTGTTAAGCTTGTTTCAAGTGAGATACTCAGATTTATATTCGGAGTTTGATGTGTGTGTGTGAGAATTTCTCAATTGAATTGCAATTACAGACATAAATATCACATGTAACAACAATTCAACTGAAGAACTTAGATCTAACTTTGAATAAAAATTGAAGTATCTCACCTGAGACAAATCTCAGGTGACAACTTCAATTGAACTTTATGTACAATTACCTTAATTAAAACTTGAACTTGAATTGATGCAGAGTTAAGACGTCCATGCGTCGTGAATCTTACGACCATACAGGGCCTTCGATTGTTTCGACACCGAAGTGCGAAATTACGTTCGCACGAAGGAACGAGAAAGAAAGAGAGAAGGAAGCTTCGAGGGCTTTTAAACATGCATCGATATTGCCTCGCTCGCTATCTTGTCGTCACAAGATAAAATACTGCAAGGGGCCCGAATGAAAACCGGATCCGCTCTGGTTGCGACGCAATGGCAAAGAAACAGTTGGCTGGGCGCAGGTGGAAGACCAGATGGCCCGGCCTCGGAGAGACAGTGAATGAAAGACTGAAAAGAGCATTCGATACTCTCTGTCTTTCAGTTTCTTTCTCTTTCACTCTCGTTCTTTCCGTGCCGGGTATAAAGATGAGGACGGACGAAAATCAATTTCGACTCCCAATCACCGTTTCCAATATCGCCCAACCCTTTCCCGTGATGTCACCCTAGACAACGATGATCGATTAATCGTGAGACGAGTGACTCACGAGTGCATTGGACTCCAAGTTGTTCATACTCGACATCATTCGAACTTAATTTCAGTGGCGGTATATTCTTGCAATATTGAAACTATTTTCCTTCGGCATCGAGATATTTAAAGATTACTAGTTAGGTACTCACTTTGCACCACGTACGAGGTCGCTCGAGTCATGTTCGTTATGGGCGGAAGTCAACGGGGATGTTTGGACAGGATCGACATTCGTCGCCTTCCTTTCGCCAACTCAGCTCTAGGACTGTAATGAGGAGATAAACAGAGATTAATAATTACTTAATTGTTATTTTAGAAAGTATTGTGTGTGTTGATCGTGATTCAATGTGTCAAGTTAGCTTCAATTTCTTCTTAAATCATACCTAAAAAGTATTGTAGTAAGAAGTAAAGTAAGAAATGATAATATGCACAAGGGTTCGAGTTTGCTTTAATTTGTGTGAAATTTATTTGGAACATACGTAAGAGATCTCGCTGTGTGTTTCACTTGACAGTTTTATTATCTGAGAACCATTCGCGTAGAAGCGGTTCGTTGGACACAGAGTGGAGCATGAAACTTTCAATGGGCGCTAGCTTAAAAGTTTTATTCTCCAAGAGTCCCTTTCGATAGTAAAACTATTGAGCATAGACATTGTCTTGTAGGCAAAAGATGGGATTTTAGTGAATTATTCGTCCGTATGCAAAGTTTTGCATTCTATATAGAAATTATATTATATAATAATAAAAGCAATAACAGAGAGAGAGAGAGAGAGAGAG